TCGCCCTCGCCCGCGCCGCCGCCGCCAGCGTTCAGTCAGGTCTGGCGCTTTGCTTTGGCGTGTCCTTGCGCCAGAGCCACCAGAAGCACTTGTGTGCCTGCCCAAGAAGCAAAAGGGATTTGTATAATGCAGAAGTAAGATTTTTACTACTCTGGCTGCTCCTGACACCTTTCTTTGGCTGGGCAATCACGTATGAAATGCCTCTTCCTCAGGTATATATATCCTTAGTCTATCCTTTGTATGGTACTTTTGTCCTCCTCCTGTGTAGTCACCCACTAGTTTGCCTAATGCATTTTGTGCTGAAAGCATGGTTTTGGTTGTCTAAGAAGGGGCCTGTTCCCATGATTCATAGAATCATCGAATCATTTAGGTTGGAAAAGACCTTTAAGATCATCGAGTCCAACTGTTACCCTAACACTGCCATCCCACCACTAAACCCTGTCCCTAAGCACCTCATCTATCCTTTTAAATACTTCCAGGGATGGGGACTCGACCACCTCCCTGGGCAGCCCATTCCAGTGCCTGACAGCCCTTTCTGTGAAGAAATTTTTCCTAATGTCCAACCTAAACCTGCCCTGCTGCAACATGAGGCCATTTCCTTTCATCCTATCACTTGTTACTTGGGAGAAGAGACCAACACCCACCTCACTACACCCTCCTTTAAGGTAGTTGTAGAGGGCAACAAGGTCTCCCTTGAGCCGCTTCTTCTCCAGGCTGAACAACCCCAGTTCCCTCAGCCACTCCTCATAAGACTTGTGCTCCAGACCCCTCACCAGCTTTGTTGCCCTTCTCTGGACACGCTCCAGCACCTCAATGTCCTTCTTGTAGTGAGGGGCCCAAAACTGAACACAGTATTTGATGGGCAGCCTCACCAGTGCCGAGTACAGAGGAAAGATGACTTCCCTGCTCCTGCTGGCCACACTATTCCTGATACAAGCCATTTTGCTGTTGGTTTTCTCAGCCACCTGGGCTTATATTCAGCCAGCTGTCAACCAAAACCCCCAGGTCCTTTCGAGGATGTTTCCTCACAAGGAATGTTCCTGTCCTCCACCTTTTACCTGGGAGAATCTCCCAGCAGGTTACCACCTCAAAATACCTCTTACCACTGTATTTTACTCACAGATCAGGTCAAACAGCAGGCTGAAATTTGTCATCCTGTAGACATGGATATTACATCTCCTGCAGGCTTCTGTGGACTCTCTCCTGCTGTTACCATACTATAACTTCACCCTTGGAGAAGTTACCTTCTAACAGAACTAAAGAGTAAGATTTATGTCTGGAGGCCTCAAGCAGCTGCTCAGATAGCTACAGAAATTCTCACATCTGACATATTCTATTTTGCAGTTAAAATAATGATGTAGCATTGCTTCACATTTTTGATTGAGTTCCCAGCTGGCAAAGTTATGGCATTTCAAACCTCAAAGAAACTGAATGGGACTACATGTCTCAAGACATCACTAATGAGCTTTACGGAGTCCTGCATCTTATCCTAATCTGGTGGCCATCAGTTTGAGTTCAGTCCAATTCAGCAGTGAGAGATGTATTCTGACATAATGTACATTTGATCACAAGATAATAAAGTTTTTTTTCAAAATTAGATTTAAGTTCATATTTTCTTCTGTGTAAGTTCATATATTCTGTTCATTGCCATGTCATGCCTTGATCACAACCTTGTAACAGCCCTCATCAATGACTCCAGAACTTCTGTTACAGAGCACAAATTGGCACAATTGTAACTGGATGAAAGTGGAAGCCTCAGGAGTCAGTGTATATTTCATACCTCTCTGCTAACACAGGTCTTCATTAACTTAAAGGTCTAATCAAACCTAAAGGTCATCCTCTACTAACAGGAAATTCACATATAAGTTTAAATAAGGCTGTAGGATTTTTTTCTAATGATAAATTAATTTATTAAGTCATTTACCTCTCCTGTAATACATGGAACTCCCCACAGCCACTCCGCAATTTTCTAATTGTATTGCTATTTATCGAGGATAGGAGAAAGGAGGTGTCATTGAGTTAAACCTACTAGATTTTTACAGAGGTAGTGAGGCATGAAGGAGCAGAAGTAATTAATGCACATTAGTGTAATTCCGTAGTACTTGTCCTGGTCTGTCTGACTGGATAAGTAACAAATCCATGCTGAGGACAGGGATGTTTACACAGCTGGTTGGATGGCACCACCGAGTGGCCCACAACCACTATACAGAACCACAGAGATTAAAGAAGGGCCACTGGCAAGTCCTTTCACTGCCTACCCATTTATTTCATATTAAATTGCAGGCCCCTTCCATTAGTAACTTTTATAGCTGCACCTTTTTCTCAGACTACTAAGTTTTCCTTGAGAGCATAGCGCATAATCAAGGTAATCAATTTCAAGAAGAAAAAAATCTTGTTGTGTTCAGTACTTTAAGTGCTGTATCTACATTGTATTGCACAGAAATAACTAGGTTAATTTGTTATGCTAAAAACATGGGATTTTTTCATTTGTTTTGCAGAGATTCTATATGACAGTTCTGAAGAAAATCTGAAATCCGCAATATGCTAAGGTGTGGTGTGTTGACTTTGGCCAGCTGCCAGGTGCCCACCCAGCCACTCTGTCGTTCCCCCTCCTCACAAAGACAGAGGGAGAAAATAAAACAAAAAGCTCATGGATCGAGGTAAGGACAGGGAGATCACACAGCAATTACCATTATGGGCAAAACAGACGTGACTTGGGGAAATGAATTTAATTTATTGCCAATTAAATGGAGCAGGATAATGAGAAACAATAACGAGTTTAAAACCTCCTTCCCTCTACCCCTCCCTTCCTCCAGGCTCAACTTTACTCCAAACCCTTGTACTTGCATGTCCTGATTTAAACCACAGTTTATTAGCAGTATATATGTAGGTCCCAGTGTGCCAAATTTAGTTAAGCTGTAGGACTACTTGTCTGAGCAGGTAACTTCTCACTTGTGATGAGCACAAAAGAGGTGTTCTCTGTACACCAGTGACTGGAAAGCTCTCAGAGTGTGTTGGTTTTCCTCTTGTGAAGAACAGCTTTGTTTATGACTCAGGGCTGAACTATGCAGGAAGTCAGCAAGCAGCATTTTGGAGCATGCGTTTGCAACACACTAGTCCTAACCTGGTGGCCTAGCACAAATGGGGCAAAGCTAGATGCTGAGGTAGGATAATCGCACTGGTTTCTTGTCCTTCTTAAAACTGCAGGCTCTTCAGAATGAGGCTTATGATCCATGACCTTGATTTTATTGGGAATGATGACATAGTGACAAAGTGTAATATACCACCGTTGAATACCTGAGGTATTGTGCTAAGACTCTTGGATGCTCAAAACATCAGACTATCATGGCAATATGGCTCTCCAAGTTGTGCCATCTTGTTTCTGACTTCCAACATACTCAATTCAAAGGCTCAGAGGTCTGCTGGATTGTCTTGTTGCCTTTGGGATATGTTGAACTCCTAAACCCTGACAGTTTCAGAAACAATGTCCTTATTGACATTCACTTTTGCCACATAAAAATTCAGGTAAGCCCAAATGTTTTTAGTCTTAGCAGTATTTCAGATTTACACACAGAATAATTCTTTGATGCACGGAAAGTGAGAGAATGATAATTCACAAATCCAGCATATACATACACACTTGCAGCATGGAGGCCTATGTATGAGCTGTTCTTACAATATGCTGCATGCAACAAAATGTTTGCAGCCCGTACAACATCAACACAATACACATACACAGAATTTAATGTAACTTGCAGGTACAGCGTTGCACAACTTCTCACGAGACTTTTGCACTAATTTATTTTCAAATCAAAACCAAATTTTATATTTATGTTCATTGACCTTAATATGTTCATTATTTTCATGCAGCTATTTTTCACTCAGATTACGTACTAAGAGCTTGTAGTAGCACAAGCCCGAATTCTTAGCTTGAAGCAACGTACGTGACAGAGATAATGTAATGAGCCACATTAGAAACAGGAGAATGGAGTCGAGGAAAAAGAAAAAGGGTCCCATCTGCCATACCTTCCCTAAAGAAATTCACTTTACTGCTTTAATACATTACAAGTTTATTTGTTAGATGTGTAAAACAATGCAGTAAAAAATATATTTCTATGTCATGACAAAAATAAGATTTATAACATTATTATTACAGTGCATCAGAAGTATTTTGAATATGTGTTCACTCCATCAGTACATACTCATGTAAGGTGCTATGGCCCTAGCAAACTGATGTCCATGGACAGATCTTAGCTGTTAAAATGCTGTAGCTCAGAGTGCCAGCTGGTGGAAATCAGCTGATTGATACCCACTCAGAATCTGAACCTATGTCTTTCTATTTATTTCCTGTTAGATTATTATTATTTGGTTTGGGTTTCTTGTTACTACTACTACTGCTGTTGCTATTATTATTATTTATTATTATTATTATTAGTAGTAGTAGTAGTATTACTGTTATTATTATTCTATTGTGATAACAGTTACATAGAAACTGTAACAAAATAAGGCTTTCATTTTTCACACCAAAGTACCAGTAAGTCCTCTCCCAAAGAGCACACAATCTACAGGGCAGGACATAAGCTCACAAATAGCAATTTCATGGCAATATATGCAATTCCTAATGATGACCTTCATGATTGACAACACCCTCAAATACAGGAAGAAATTCAAACAGGAACAACTTTCCTGATATGTAAATGCCAGAGACAAGAAATAAAAAAAAAAACCAAAACAGTATGAGAAACCATAAAAAAGAAATAATATAAAATGAAGTAACAGTTCTGCTCAGTGTACATTAAAATGTACAAAGAGGTTTATGAAACACTGCAGCTAATTCAAAAAAAAAAAAAAATACATCAAAGAGCAGATTCTGCAGAACTGGAGTAAATTGCCATACCTGTCTTCTGTACCAGTGTGGTTTATTCCATACCAATTGAACTCAGAAGTGTTAATCTTTGTATGGTTTGGCTTCGATGAGTAATACTTCCAGAATAAATGCAAAACAGACTTGCTCACAGACTAGGAGCACTACAAGCTAAGGGATGCCATAAATACCATCATCGTGCTTGCTACTGTTCCCTTCAACACGAACATTCATGCTATTAAGCACTATGCAATATATACTCAAGAATGGCCCTGAAATTCAGCTGAACACAGCAAGAAATGGTGTGTAATGACACAAGGTGTAATGACAGCAAAATAGTAGTAAAGGAAGGTATGAGAGAATGCACAGGGCTTATGAAACCAAATCTTGAAATGTTTCTTTGATTCTCTTTTACTAAATAAGGTCCTATATTACAAGTGGTTTTAGTTTGCTAGAATTACAGTTCACAATTATCCTAAGCTTGATATACTCTAGTTAACAGAAGCTGCAAATACTAATTACCTCTGAAAGTCTGGATATAAAAATTAAGGTTAGAAAATGTTGTCTTCAGTTGTTCATCAGACAGATCCTGGCTTCAAATTTTCATCCAACAGGACTGAACATATTATTGTGCCTCTTTCCAGAGAAACAATACAAGGGTTGCTTTTATGTCCATTGGAATACATGGAAGGCAACTGCCAAAGCCAGCCAGGCTAGTAACTGAATAGAACTTTGTTACTTCAGCATTAATGAATATCATGGAGGGCAGACCTTAACAGATCCCAACCATCTTATTTTTAGCCCTTGAACTCCAATCCCCAAATTGTCCGAGAACTTCCCCCTCTCCAGATCAGAGCAATTCTAATTTACAGATTACGTTTATTCATAGACAGATAATAGCAATTCATTTTAGATAAAATTTTTGGCAAGGTGAGTCAGCTTTTTTCTCCACTTTACAGTGAACTAACTGGTTTACAGTGAACTCATTTTTTTTATGACTGCAGGGTAATTGCAGTCTTAGACTTTTCTCTCAGTATAGGATTTCATTTTCCAGATTATTCTCCCAGGAGATTACTTAAACACTGAAAATTTTTATAATCCTTTAGTTTAAAAAGTGCAGTTAGTAAAGGACCTGTTATAACTAGCAATAAAATAGGTAACATGAAATATTTATACATACTACACAATGATATTTACACCCAGTTGGCTCCATAGTTAGAGTAAATAAAAAAGCACAATTATTTAATACTGACAAAGTTATTCAAGTGCATTAACTACAAGTAAATATGAGGATGAGTATTATAACTACTACTATAGTTACATAATACATCGGGTTTATGAAGAAGAACATTCTATTGTCACCATTTATTGAAACTATAACACCTGGTCTTGTTACATCAGATGGTCTGTCTTCATATAAAGTCAATTTAATGCACTGGGCAAAAGTAAGTTACTATGCAAAATTGGTAATTTGGGTGAAATTTCCCTCTTTGATCTTTTAATGCTGAGCTATTGATGCTTATCTTCAAAATATAACCAGTATATATTTACACTTTGAAGGAGGAATGTACATTTTAACTTCATTTTGAGTACCCTTTTCCTCACTGCAGCACTTGCTCGGATTTTTGATGCTATAAATACCACTGTAACCTGCTCAAGCTTGGCTTAGAGTTGGACAGACAGTGGTGTTTCAGTCTTGTCGATTCTTTCTCCCACCAGACCCTTTCATTTCTGTGCTTTTGCTGCAGTTTTCAGATCCCTGTCGTTCTGCATGCCAGCCTGATTGTACCCCACGGGCAGGAGTAGCCCTTCCTCAGGCAGCCTTTCATGTCTGATTTACCAGCTGGGGCTGTGTAGCCTTGCTTTTAGCCCAACAGGGGACAGCTAGACTAGAAGCAGCACTAGTTATAGAATGGCTTGGTGGGCAACAGCATCCTCACTCATCACCATCATTTTGCTGCATGGGAAGATGAAATCCATGCTGTCCTAGCTAAACTGGCATACAGGCAGATATTTTAAGAAGCAGATTATTAAAAGCTTGGAGTCACAAGATAACAGTTTTTGGTTACCCACAGGTTCTACATGTAATTTAGTCTCTGTTGTAGCAAAGATCCCAGCTGAAAAATAGGGCTCAGTGAAGTTAATAAATGCGGGTCCTGTATTTTTGTACATGAATCCAGGTAATTCAGATTCATCTGCTTCTCCACATCCTGATTTCTGGTTTTCTGAAGAGTGCTTTCGTTCCAATAGCATTTCTTTCTTCCTTTTTCTTCTCTTTTCTTAATGTGCAGCATAAAGGCCAAAAGGCAGTGCACACACATGATACAATAAAGCTTCTAAAATATATTACCGCCACTATGTAGTCAGCCACTACCCAAATGCATTATCTTTGACAGCATGTTGTTACAAGAAATTAAGATATAAAGTATGGGAAGGCATCAGCTGTTTACCAAAAACTGAATGGGAATTGCAAAAAAACTATTTACCATTAATTTCCCATCAAAATGCTTGTAGGACCCCATGCTTGCAGGACTTCATTGACATAAGAGACTAGATGTACAGGCATCATCATGCATGACTGCTTTCAGATAGTCACCAGGAAGTATGGCCTCACCCACAGTTTGACCAGAATAAAAATAAAGCTAAAATGAATTGCAATTTGAAGGAAGAATACAAACAGTTCTGATATTTTTTTCTACAGTAACATGTAGCCATAAGGAGTTATCCAGTAGTTTGATGCTGAAGAGCTGAGGAAAATAAATTTGAGGAGGAGGAAAAATGAAAACTCTTGGTGAACTCATTTTGAAATACACAGAAGTAACTACTCTGCCTTTAAGTTTTTATGCAAGGCAAGAGACAAGCTTGTTTTGAAATGCTGGAGGTCCTGTCTTGCAGTGACCTGTGCCAGTCAGTATTTAGTTTACTCCTGCCAGGCAACAAGTCCCAAGTTCTCCACTCCACCCTGTAGTACCTGCTTTGGTTAATATTGATACTAGCTTTCAAAATCAGAGTCAGCTTTAAAGCTCTGGTGTTGCAGCCCTTACATAAACAGTCCCACTGGCTTTAAGAAGTGCCATACCTAGCGTCCACTGCTTGGCACGCTAGCTGAGTAGGATGTATTTTTCATCATAGGCTTTAGTAAGTCTGCACAGTGATCAAATGCCGGCACACCACGCTGACATGCTTTGTTCTCAGGACGAACATTGTCTTTCTGAGGGCTGACTGAAAGGTTTTCCAGGTTGCGTCTGCAGCTGTGCAGACGCCTTTAGATCTCACAAGCTGAACTGCACTCAACCAGCGAACTGATGAACAAGGCTGTTTTATCCACACTATAAGGAACACAAACCTGGGCACGGATCCACTTAGTTCCTTCTTTTCGTTTTTGTTTTTTCAAAGTAAAGGGATAAAGGAAATAATGGAGCCAGGACCGGGATGGCCAGCTCCAAGTACAAATCAATCAGTGCTCTTGTTATTAGGGTTCTGAGCTGCACCAAGACTTAGAAATGCTTGATAAACAGAAACTGGAGACCAAGGATGAGGCTTGACTGAAAAAGAATATGGAAAAGAAGAATCTAGAAGTGTTTTCCAGATATTCTGGACGGATACATGTTGATGCTGCTTCACTCCTTCAGTGGAATGATACCAAGTTAGAGCAGTACAGCACCTGGCCCTGCTGTTCAGTTTAAACTTGGAAAGAGGAAGACTTGCTTTGCCCGTTACTGAAAAACATGTTTTCTCTACGCTGAAGCACACCACTTGTTTAGCAGCTTACACCATTTAGCAACTGTTGTCAAACAATAAAAAAAATATTTCATCCAAATAAAATGCAAAAGGAGTTTTCAGACAGCAAAGTGGAGTAATTCGCAGTGGAAACTGGCAAGGGTCCCGCAGCTAAACCTTCCTTTAATGAAAAGTCCAGGGAACCTTTCTGGCATGCCTGAACCCTGTCTCATAATGGGGCTCACCCCAAGAAGTACGAATTCTTTCTAAACTTAACATATACTCACCAATTATTCTTTCTTTCCAATTACTTCCTGGGGGAAAAAAAATAAAGCATACATTTTTGCATGTCCTGATTTAAACCAGAGTTAGTTATTAGCAGTATATATGCAGGTCCTGGTTCGCCAAATTTAGTTAAGCTGTAGGACTACTTGTCTGAGCAGGTAACTTCTCACTTGTGATGAGCACAAAAGAGGTGTTCTCTGTACACCAGTGACTGGAAAGCTCTCAGAGTGTGTTGGTTTTCCTCTTGTGAAGAACAGCTTTGTTTATGACTCAGGACTGAACTATGCAGGAAGTCAGCAAGCAGCATTTTGGAGCATGTGTTTGCAACACGCTAGTCCTAACCTGGTGGCATTGACTTTATTGGGAATAATGACCCAGTGACAAAGTGTAATACACCACCCTTGAATACCTGAGGTATTGTGCTAAAACCCTTGGATGCTCAAAACATCAGACTATCATTGCAATATGGCTCTCCAAGTTGTGTCGTCTTGTTTCTAACTTCCAATACACTCAATTCAAGTCCGCCAGATCATCTTGCTGCCCTTGGGATACACTGAACTCCTGAATCCTGACACAGTCTCAGAAACAAACAATATCCTTCTGAGCTTCACTTTTGCCACATAAAAATTCAGATAAGCCCGAATGTTTTTAGTCTTAGCAGCATTTCAGATTTTACACATTAAAAAGACTTTTCTGCTGTGTAGAAAGTGAAAGAATGGTAATTCATAAATCTAGCCCATACATACGTTCTTTCAGCATGGGGGCCTATGTATGAGCTTGCTCTAAAGATATAATTCAGACCTTGAAATACGCAAGTCTTTTTCTCCAGAAGGATTTAGAAGCTACATCTCTGTGCAAAACAGCTACATCAGCACCTTTACTCAACTGATCAGACTGATTTAATACTTCTTTCTAAGACATTTATCAGACTATAGCATAAGCCAAAGGCAAAGGTCTGTCCTGAACCTAATGGTGCATTGGGTTAGTGGGGCCAAGTCACATCAATTCTGTCATCCCTGGAAGGATCATCATTAATTGGTTTTATTTTTTCCAGTAAAAAAAAAAAAACCAAGGCTCAGTTTGGTGGCCTGGGAGCAGACCTCAGCACAAGGCTTGAAAGCACACCTCAGGATTCATAGGAGTTACTATCCTTGGTCTGTCTCTGCATCTTCATGCTATGGCCTGTTAGATTTATCTTCCTTTTCTGCTAACCAATAGGTGTTAGGACACTTATTACACATTAGGAAAGGCAGTTTTTCAAAATAAACAGAAAGTTTACCATATACAAAAGAAACAAACAGAAAGTTTGCTAAATACAAATGGATACAAATGAGTAACAATGAGTACAAGTGGATATAAATGAGTAACAGGAAAAGCCAAATCCTCCATCAGTAATTTCAGATCACGCCTTCTTATCTTTTGACGTGAAAACCACAGAAGGAATCTCTCCTTCCTCTTAATATAACATCTCTAAATTCCTCTCATCATCACGACACTGGAGCCACTTACCAAAACTTTGTTGTTTTGAAAGATGCATCAAGACTGAAGAAAGATGACACAGCAGCATCCTGGGGCAAAAGAACTGTGAAATTCAAATGCAAAATCCTGTAACTGATTGAATGTTACATTCTCTCCCTATACGCCTGCATATTGCTCTTCTCAGCATCAATAAGAGCCATGGATATACATCCAAGGAATGGATTTTGGTCCTCAGGTGTGACTTAGTAAAATCTTGTGTGTTGAATATAAAGAAAGTCCATACTTACACACCAAAATTATCAGCAACAAAGTGGCAGACAATCCTCCCAGAAAATACCTGAGAACAACAATACCCATAAAGGTTAGAAAAAACCAAGGGATGCGTATTGGGTTAACAGAGGTGAAGCCTGGGGGGGAGGAGGAGGGGAGGTTCCTGCAGATGAACCCTCTGAACTCTGCAAGTTGAAACTTTAAATTACTCAAGCTGTTGAGGATAATCTCCTTGAAAGAAAGACATTGGCATTCCCAGAGAGAGAGAAACACCCATACTGGTCACTTAGAAAGCTGTGGATCCATTTTGATTCTTCTCAGCCTTTCAAAACCCCTGTCCAAGCATACTTGAGAAAGCAGTGTACATATCTGTGTACGTATTTCTTATTTTTGCGCATATCTATATAGCTCAGATATTTGCCTGCATTGACTATCATGTGAAAATATATTTTCACAATAAGTTATATCTAACTTTGAAATGTGACCCTTAATTTATATTTTATTCACCAGCTGAAATGGATTAAGCATTAATATCAGAAACAACAAATAAAAGAAATTAAAATTACCTTGTAAATATTGAAATGATTAAACACGTGGTCAGTGCAACCATCTGAGAAAGGACATTTCGCACTGTCCTGGATTCTAAAACAAAAAGCAGAAAAATAATTTTCATGTGTTTTCAAGGAAGTAAACACACGACAGGAGGTGTTTGCAAAGACAACCTTCAGACTGTGAGGCCAGTCTCTTCAGTTTCTTGTTAAGAGAATTCGCCTAGAGTGATCCAAAGCGGAAACCTCATTTTCATGCTCTGGGTGTCTCTCAGGAGCCTTTTTCCCCCATGACCATGGAGACACTGTGCCCTCCATGCTCTCAGAAAACAAGCCTTTCTGAATAATTGCCTGTTTCAGGTTTTGTTCCCATGCCCTTTCCTCCATTTTCCTCTTCACTTCACTTTTTTCTTTTCCCATTTATCACTGAAAAGATGTGAGCAGGAAGGAGTGAACAAGTAAATACCAATTTTAAGATTTTGTTAGTTTAAACAAGTAATTTAAAATATCTGTTTCAGGAAATAAATTCTATTCTGCAAGGGGCCATATCAATACTTTTAATGTATTTTCAGTTCCCTCTAAAAATGAGGCATATCAGAATAAGAATGTAACATACCTGCATTGCTCAAAATCTCTTCATTTGCATTTATCATAAATGGAGAGCAGGAATTTAAAGCACAAAATGGTTTCTCAGGCTGCAGAAACTCGTCATTCGTGAGAGAGGCTCTATTAGATGCTGGAGTTTGTGGCATACGGCTGTTACGTTCAGAAGAAAAGTCTGAATCACCTACAGAAAGTGCATGTGTAACTGAGATCGCACAAAAGTAGAGCTTTGAGACCATGTTAATGAAATCAGGGGGGAAGGGGGAATTAATTACTTAATCACAGGGAGGTTTCCAAATTATTAGGGGTAGGGAATTGGCAGGTTCAATGTATGCAGGAGAAAATATGCAGAGTAAGGACAAAACTGCAGAGAGTGTAACACAATGAAGTTATTAAAACAGCCAGATATTAATGCCACCAGCATAAACATCGCTGGTGATGACTTGGGATTCAAATTCAGTCTAAAAATGCCTTTTTGCCACAAAGTTCTTTGTGGACTCATGCTCAGTTTTACTGCCAGGAGCTGAATTCACCATTTACAATTCTGTTACTCATCTATGCTTTACCTGCACATCCTGGCAGGCAATCCCTGCAAAACCTAGAGAGAAAGATACCCAAGTCCCACTAAATATAGACTGTAAAGCTGTAGCTCAGTTACTCGGTACCTGGTCAGGGCTTACCAATGTCACTCTGACTGGCTCCTAGTTCACTGCATCCATCAGGCCAAGGATCATCTACATGGGAGAAATCCACATCGCTGAGCCATGAACTGGGGGCACCGAGATCGAACAAGCTGGCAAGAGAGCGACGGATTTTCTTCCTTCGCCTGAATACGCTAGAAAGAAAAGATGTGTTGTCCAGGAATAGAGTTAATTAAAGGTTGCAGGACTCACATGAAAGAACCAGGTTCTGGGTGCTGTTCCTAGTTCTGTTCTTGACCCTGGGTACATCACCAAGAATGACTGCTGCACGCCGCAATGATGTCAGGGAACGTATGAGCAGTGTGGCAATATATCATGCATTGTGATACTGGATATTGTGATGCCAAATGATACTACAGCTACTGGGCTCTGATACTGCTCTGAGTGGTCTCATGCTACCCGTGAGTTTCACCCTACCCTATCCCATTTGGGCAGCCTGAATCCACTATACTTCAACTTTTTTGAACTACATTTTATATACCTTCCTAAACTGACGTTCTTCTGAAATCAAGAGAGATTTTTTCCAGAGTAAGAATTCCAGGACCAAACCTTTTTATTTTTATATATATATACATACAGACACAGTTTTTTCTTATTCTGTATCACGGTAACGCCCCATTGGCAAAAAGAGCCATAGCTCTCCTTTTTCTTTATTGCACACAACTCTAATTACAGCAACGACTGTGTACTGAAGAGTTTTGGGGTAATAAGATTAGACATGACTGAAAATCAATCACTGCACTCTCTAAACCAAATCAATTGAGATGTTCCCATTTTAGTCTGGAGAAGAGGAGGCTGAGGGGAGCCCTTATCGCCCCCTGCAACTGCCTGACAGGAGGCTGTAGTGAGGTGGGGGTCGGCCTGTTCTCCCTGGTAACAGGCAATAGGACGAGGGGAAATGGTCTGAAGTTGCACCAGGGCAGGTTTAGATTAGACATTAGGAAAAATTTCTTCACAGAAAGAGTTGTCAGGCATTGGAATGGGCTGCCCAGGGAGGTGGTCGAGTCCCCATCCCTGGAGGGATTTAAAAGACAAGGGCTTTAGGGCCATGGTTTAGTGGTAGGATGGCAGTGTTAGGTTAACGGTTGGACTTGATGATCTTCAAGGTCTTTGCCAACCTAAATGATTTTATGATTCTATGATTAAGAAGCAATGTTGATCTTATGCCAAGCAAAGTGTAGACAGCCCCACAGATACCACCAGGTAAGTCCAGAGACGTGGAGCAAGTTGCCAACATTGAGTAAAATCTGCATCTAGTTCACTTACCGAACTACATTCTCTTTATAAGTAACACTTGTCTGGGATGGTGTCAGTGTTACGTTGCCCTCTTCATCAGACAGAAAACTGTCTTTGGTCAGAATGTAATAACCATTGGAAAGCAGTCGAGGGCTGCGGCGACATGGGGAAAGGAAGCCTGTCGGAGGACTTGTGGAACAACACCCATAGGCAAGGTCATCATCCAGAAAGGCACAAGCATAACTGAAAAGGAGAAAGGAAACCCTCTAATTTACTGAATGTCTAGACAGTGCAAACCCATGATTTAATAATAATGAATTTACATTACCAGCTGATGGGTGACATAGATTTAAAATATGTAGAAATAATGACACTACTTATGGACCTAGGGGGTTTCAGCCAGCTAGAGCATGCCTCCTTCACACTTCCCAGAGCTTCAGATTACAGGAGGGCTCCATGTCAGGTGGAGCATTTCACGAATGCACGGAGCCAGCCTGAACTGAGAAGTGCTTGGTGTATTTCTGTGGCAGTGCTCTTGGCCAAGGAGTCCTGCCAGATCTACACCTACCTGGAGCCTTCAGAGGTATTCCAGTATTTTGCTTCTCTAAGTTACTCTGCATGGTGCAAACCTGAGTGCCTCTGAACCGGGCAGGATTTATTTGCTTTTTATAACCTATCCATACTTAATGAAGATTTAAGGATACATGACTTTTAATTCTCACAAATCCTAGCATGCCATGAAGCTAGAACAACATGGGATAATGTCTATACATGGCAAAAACTTCATCCAGCCCTGAAATACAATTGACTTTGAGATTAAATATAGCACAGAAATATATGCTATGTGGTATTTAAAATAGAAGTGAGTAGTGACAGAGGTGAGGAATCTAAATGTTGTAGATATTTTACTTAGCTCAAGTAGAATTGGATTTAGGGTGAGTCCTTCCATCAACACTTTTGAGTTCCAGGTGGCCATGAAGAAACATCCATAGGAAGAAAGGAAGACACTGGATTGATTCAGTGGCTGACATGGGTTTCAGTAGCGGCTTTAACTAACCCATATGGCACGTCACAGAGGGATACCATAATTTCAGTGGAGGGCAAAGGAAAACAGAGATACTCCAACACCTTGTAATTGCAAAGCCAGTGCTTCCAATCTCCATAGCAGGACTTCTAAACCTCCATTTAAAGCAGTAATTAAATTAATATCAGCACTACAATTCTAAGTGGCTCAAAAGGGATTTCACAAAATTTCCAACAAAATAAAAATAAACCCAAACAAGTATGGTTTTCGTCAGTACCTTGGAAAAATACATTGTGAGAAAAAAACCATCATACGCTGCCGAGCCTGCAGAAGCAAAGGCCAAATAAGAAGTAGTCGTTGTCATATCCACTGACAGCTCAAACAGTTGACAGGTCTTCACTGACAGGTACCTTGTGCATATCAAAAAGATCATAAAAGAAGCTAAAAAAGAAAAGGAAATTAAGGGAGAGGTTAAAGGAGATAAAACAGATGAAAGAATGGAGGAAAGACATACTGCTTATAGGAAACTCATCTCAACCAGGACAACACAGAATCAGAGCCAACCATAAACAAACACTTGTACTCTGCACAGCTTGCAACCTTGAGAGAAATAGCTATGGACACAAATGCATTAGCTACAGCAATTTTGATGTTTTTTTCCCAGAAATCTGCTTCATGCCAAAAATAGTGCATGTACTGGCAATAGATACAGAGTAGAATGGAAGGGCCACCATTACCATTACAATATATTTTTCAGGTGAAAATTGCAGACGTGGCACAAGAGGAATAGGGACAGTGACAAAGATTTGACAATAATACTGTGGCAGGAGACTAAGAAATAGGATTTGTCTGGATTACCATGGCTCAAGTATGCAAAGTGCTGCCAGAGGTTCAGCATCTGACAGAATCAATATTACACAATATGAGCAATGGCTATCCATAGGGAGAATTTATATCTGTTATTACATGGAACGATAAAAGATATGATTTTCCCTATATAACCTTACATCTCCTATATCTTTAGAGCATCACGCTTATACCACTGTTAGTGAATGCCTGTCATTTACCTATGAGAGGAGATAAGTCTAACACAATTTTTTTTTTAATGTTCAGTTATGAGCTGAGGCAAAGAAAAGACATGAAGCTCAGTGTTTCCACTTTGGCAAGCTTGTTTCTCCTCATTTGGAGCTCAGTTGTCAGTGACGGTCTGGATGTAAAGACTGAGTCTTGGGAGCAGGCAGGGTCACCAAAGAATGGAAGCAAAACCTTCCAGGGTGTATTTTACATATCAGTCCTATTAACCTACTCCCATACATACTGTTTCTCCTACACTTTGGAAAAAAATAAATGCAACATTTCACTTTACCATGAGAAAATTATCATAGAATCATAGAATCATAGAATCACTTTGGTTGGAAAAGACCTTTGCAATCATTGAGTCCAACCTTTAACCTAACCCTGACATCCCACCACTAAACCATGTCCCTAAGCACCTCATCTATCCTTCTTTTAAATACCTCCAGGGATGGGGACTCGACCACCTCCCTGGCCAGCCCATTCCAGAGCCTGACAACCCTTTCGGTGAAGAAGTTTTTCCTAATGTCTAGCCTAAACCTGCCCTGGCGCAGCTTCAAACCATTCCCCCTCGTCCTATCATCTGTTACCAGGGAGAAGAGGCCGACCCCCACCTCACTACAGCCTCCTGTCAGGTAGCTGTAGAGGGTGATCAGGTCTCTCCTCAGCCTCCTCTTCTCCAGACTAAATAATCCCAGTTCCCTCAGCCGCTCCTCGTAAGACTTGTGCTCCAGACCCCTCACCAGCTTGGTTGCTCTCCTCTGGACATGTTCCAGCAACGCAACATCTTTC